GCGTTTCACTAAACCATGCATTTTCAATGCCTGTATCAAAAATAATGTCGTAAAATAAAAGTCCAAATACAGTATGCCAAAGTGCACCTTCCAGATGTTTTCCTATACAAAAAGTATGTCAATTAAACCATGAATTCCAAAACAAAGATGAGACATAATTCATCGTTATAACAACGAACATTTAATTTGTAGTTAATTTATTGTGCCTCGAAGTAATTAAAATAATATTCATGAAACTGGTTTTGCAGTTCTCCGCTGAAATTTCGAAAACATTTTTATAAGCTGCAAAACAAAGTAACGAACTTTGATTACTGGTAGCATATCTGTTTTTATTTGCTACATAAAATGATTTAAATAAATACAAGTTCTTTTAAAAGATATATTTTGTTAAATTTTCACTCAACTGCTTCACCACTTTCAGTACCCCTAAAATAATCATAATAGTATTTTACAAATGAAGTTACCTTCTTTGAAACCTTTCTTTCTTATATAATGATTTAGTGCTACCTCTTCGACGTTGCACTCGTACAAAACTCCTGCTCTATAATTATTATTTAAAATGATATACATTTAAATTTCAAAATCGAAAAAGTCAAAAATTGAATTTATATTTACTTTTTAATCATGAATCTGTTGATTCGAGTTTCTCCAAGTCTCTTAGCCAACACTGATCCCTCTATATCAATCCTTTCAGGAAGTTCATCTATTAAAGGTCCCCTCCAAGTTGGTAAAAGTTTACGTCCTCTATCCTGGAAACTTTGATAACAAAATTCAGTGATAATTTTAAACTAAAAGACGACATAAAAATAAGAAAGAAAATCTTAAAAAGAAATATGAAATAAGTATGAGATAATTTAAAAAAATACAACTCCACTTAAAAGATATATTTTATGATGTTTTCACTTAATTACTTCAACGGGATACCTTTGAGTATCTGAAAGTATAGTGAATCTATATAACACTATAGAAACCATAGGAGAGAAACGAACCTGAAGCAACAAACGGTCTTTATCACCTAAAGCAGGATCTTGCAAACCTTCAGTAACAGCTTCCATTGCTTGATTTTTGTCTTTCAGATGAACATCCAGATTTAGAGCTAATCGATTCCACCATCCACCACGAGCATTACCAAGAATAAAGTTAAACTCTAAAAACAAATAAAAACGTCATTAGTATAAAAAGTGTTGTTTTAGCACGTTATGGCTGTATCAAGTTTTTAAAAGTTATAACTAATACCATGAAGAAGTTGAAAAAACTCATTTAAATACACGGAAATCATATGAAATAACTACAAATCAAATAATTTTGATAACTATAACATAGAGCAATAAAAAATTAAGCTAAAATTGAGTTCAGTATTTGCAAAATGACTGAAAAATGAAATACTTTTGGTATGTAGTAAATATTTCAACCATTCAACAGCATTTTGATAATCCTTAATTTTTTCGAATGCCTCAGCACCGCGTGATATACATCTGAATGTATTAAAGAAATTTACCCGTTTCAATTCTTAAAAAAAAACTGACGAAAACTAAGAAATACGATAGGAATTGACCTGGAAACAATAAATAATAAAGTTAATGAAACAATGCTAAAAAAAATAACAAACAAACCTGGCATACACGTGAAGATCAGTAAATCTTCGGAGATGACCTTCCAAAGACTCACAAAACTCCCTGCAAGAATTCATTTACATTATTACAAAAACAATAAATATTATAATAGTATGAGTTGTCACGACACACTGCAAGTTTCCATTGCCCAAATTTTCAAAATACAAAATAATGCCAAACAAAAATGTTGAAAAAGGTGCAGTTTTTTATTTTTCATAGACATATGCCAGAATATCGCCAATAATAATGGAGTGTAACTTATCGGTAACCTCTGTGTCAAATAACTCCTTTCATATTTGTCACGAGCATTTCCAGCGCACTGAATGACATCACTCCACGACCCACGTTGCGTTAAATTAGCTATTTCAGCTTCTAGTTCTTTTGCCTCAACATACCTATATAAAATCCTTTTCAAGACTGAAATGTGCATCAAATTTTTACTTTTCAAAATATCACAGCTAAAACATATCTAAAATTACCTGAACAGTTTTTCCGAATCTGTATAAATATTAATTATAGATGGATTATTAGGAGCAGGATAACGAATTTTGTCCGTGCCAACTTGAAGCAAAATGAATCTAGGAAAGAAAAACTTGCAATTGTTACGAGTTAGCTCTTTTTAATTATCATTTTACATATTACATAAAATGAGCAGAAGCTGAGAGTTTCATTTGTTTTTACGCTTATAGAATTCATGCTTTTAAAACTATTAATCAGAAAATAGTACTAACAATAAATTTGAAGGAAGATTAATAGAAGGCTGGTCAAAGAGTAACGTAGAATTCATATCGATCGGTGAGTAAAGTGTGAAAACCGCCATAAATAAATTTAGCACCCTTTTGCACAAACGGTAACATGCGCCAAGTTTCTTTTTTATACTGGAAATAAATTATGAATACAAAATTAAAAGTAAAAAAAAGAACTAAAGGAATTCTTATAGAAACCTGCAATCATCTTTTGATATTTGAAAGTTATTATTTAAAATAGTATATAATGTTATAATATCCAAAACATAAATTTGCTATGAAATAAAATCACAACTTAAGAAATTACTAACGTATGAAGCACTCGTTTCTCCATTGAAATCCCAAAAACATTCTTATGAGCTGCAAAGCGAAGTAATAAACAGCGAATTTGCGTCTTGCTTTTGTTAAATTCCAATTTGAATTCTTTCGCAACTGCTTTTAATGACGGAGCACGTAGAAGATAAACAGCTTCCGTAATGTCATTCAATGAGAAATCACCTGAAATGCTCATTTTGACAGTAGTCACTGATATTTACTCAGTGAAAAAGTGCGGTGAAATTTTCTTTAGCACTTTTAATAACACTATATTTGGTCTTTGTAAAAAATGCAATATTAATTCCAATTTAATGATTTAAAGCTCGGATTTTTTCTGAATTAAAAGTCACAACAGATAAGATTATTAACTTGAATCAACTAGTTCAGCGCGTGTGAGTTCCTCGAACAGTGGCTCCAAAGACGAAGAGATATCTGGATAGCTGAAAATGAAAAAATTCTCTGTAATTGATAACTGACTGAAAAAGCCGTAACATTTTATACACATGAAAATATAACTTACGAGAGCTCATTTATTGTAAGCCACTTCCACTTGCGAAGAAATAGTCGAATTAAAAGCAGTTTACTTTTATCTGGAAATTTTAAATGAAATTAATAATTAAAAAACTAAGTAGAAAGTAGGATGAAGTAAATTTTTAAAGAATTATATCATCTACCTGACAAGTTAACAAATTTTTGTAGCAAATTTAAATGTTTCTCCCAAAACTCAACTTTCCCGTACATTCCTCCATCACAAAAAGTCTGGAAAACGAAAATCTTTCGATTAAATCTAACAAGACAAAGCTTGTAACAGATGCATGCATTCTTGAAGAAATACGGACAAAAAAATGAGCTACGAAAAGAATCTTCATGAAATACTGAGGAAAATATTTAGATAATAAACCTGCATTTTATAGTAACTCAAACAGATGAATAAACCTCCCCATATTTCGGATGTTAGCATTTCCCAAATTTTTAAAATTAAATTGGAATGACATGAAGAACAAAAAACGAAATATGAATGCAATGTTACTTTCCGTCAAATCATGATCAAAAACTAACTCGTTTAAGTATTTTGTGAAACAATGTAAGATAGTATGGTGACACTATCTGATGCAGTTCACTCCCAGAACTTTTGTGATTTGAAAAATGTTGACTACTTTGAAGATTACAATCAGTTGCATTCAGATAGGTTTGGATACTTTGTAAAACATCATGCAAACTCTGTTCCGGTTCCTCTTTAACTTTTCGACTAGTGGTAGGTTCACAGTGAAGCATATCTGCTGATCTAAATATATGAAAATTTTCACTGTAATACCAACCCTGAAAAAACATTTGAACTAAAAATAATGATGAATGCCAAACAAGGTGGCAAATAGGGTAATTCACTGGAAAAATTCATTCAATGTTCATGGTATCTAATGTTGTGATACCTTATTTCATCCAGATAACTGGGAGTTTCGTCTTTTCCTGAATTTTGTTTCAATGTCACTGCTTTGTTTTCTAGAACAGTTTTGTTTTTCTTCTCAGTAAAGAACTGAGCGTCTATTTTTGTAGTCCCTTCTTCCGTTTTGGCTAATACAGACAAATTAATCTAAATCATTCAGTAAATGTAACAGAAAATTTCACCAGAAACTGCCAAACACTTGATCCAGCATATTTTTTGACTTGAAAGACTGGAAACATCAATATAAATTCCATTTTCCAAAATATAATTATTTCAAAGTTGTTTATCAACAATACCTTTTTAGGTCGTTTCTTAGGGATCCTGCTGCAAGTTCTACTTATTTTTGATTTACTTCCAATTTTATCTCTTACTGGGTTTAACAGTTTTTGAAACTTTGCATTTTTCTGAACATTCGTAGTCCTTTTTTGCCACTTATCTATATTCATTGAAGCGTTCTCAACAGCGCTTGTCATCTCCCTGTTTTCTGAATTTACATTTTCGAAAAGATCGCTACTATCATTTAAACTGGTCCCATCCTCAGCATTTTCATCATCCAAATGTATTTCTTTGACAACCTGAAATCTTCAAACTAATTGATTATTTTGTTAAATGTTAAACAAATAGAAGCTCTTTTACACAGATATCTTCGTTCAGCAATTACAAGCAAAATTCATGTGAATATATCACAAAGATCTGCTCTCTGAACAACGTTGTAGGTTTCACTGCGCAGTAATCAGTAAGTGATTCTGAATCTAAACGATGCATAATACTATGTAAACAAAAATAGAATCATCTGATAACAACTTAGTATTAGATGATTAACAGTTTTAACAATAACTTCTAGTTTATTAATTGTATTATTTTTTTGCGTTCACAAAACAGAACGATCAGAACTAATCTTATATCATCAGAATAATTTATAAACAATTAAAGAATAAAAAATACCAGACAATCATCATCATCTGAGGGTAATTTACAAACAGTGGAATGTGAGCGGTACACTCCTCTGCTAACGAGATTCCCACATATTGAGCACTGCTTTTTTTCTGCTTGTCGTCGAAATGCTTCCAAGATAGACATTTACCTACTAGTAAAATTTTATAAATGAATGCTAACACGAGATTAAAAAAAAGGTCCCGACCGCAATAGCAAAAGGTCAAACTACAATAATAACCATGATGTTCACAATTAATGCTTATCCAACATTTGCATTTATTATTAACTGATTATAGTGAGCGATGCATACCGTCTGGCTGCAATTCTTGAGAGGAAATTTCAAAAAAAAACAAATAATTTTCTAAGTTTCCATGAAAAAAATAATTGTTTATTCAATTATCGCTATGTAACTACAATAAAATAATTAGAAACATAATAGCAGTCTTTTTTGTCTAAATAGCTCAAACTTAATGACACTCTCAATCTTTAATTCAATTTCATAGCGCTACTCTTTAGTCACTTTTCTCAATCCCTGACTTCATTATCACTTAAAAATCCTTTTTATACCTGCGCTCTCTTCAAACTGTTGTCTCTTTTCTTTGCTACTAATTTTTGCGTGCAATTAATTCTGCATTGTATTTTGGATAAAGTCATGAATTCACTTTTATCGTTATAAGTGTTAGCGTGGAACGTTGGAACGTAATTGTTTTTAGATTCCTTGGACATTCGAAGTATACAAATGATTTCTTATATTGCAGCAGTATGTGGAAAATACTAATCTAGACAGACGCAAGTTTGAAATTAGAAATTTAAATGTTAAATATTGTTTATAGAAAAAAGAAATACATTGCAGTTAGCAAGCACTGTTTCACATGAAATACGTATTTTAACTGGTTCTACAGTATTCAGTTTTTAATTAAAACCAGAGTAAAGGGATGTTTACGCAAAAGTAGTATTAATCCCAACAATTATGCGCAACTTGCAAGCCAATTTTTTCCGATTTTATTAATATCACAGTAATTTACGACAGTATTGAATTTTAAAGCATTTATTTATATAACATAAATACATACAGTACTTTCGTACCAGGAACTGTTAATTTTACTTTATTTTCAGAGCATTATTTGTCTTTTCATTACATTTTTGATTTCTCAATCATTTTTAATTCAGTAATTAGTCGAGTCATTTTCGTTGCCAATTTTTATTTGGATACTATCGTTTTACGCTTCGGAATGACTTGAATACCTTTACATTGATAGAACAGGTTGCTAATCTAATTTAAAAAATATAAATTCTACAATGTTTAATCAGCAGCTTGTTTTGTTTTAGAACAGGTCTTTAATAAACTTGTCTGAAACATAAAATTGCTACTGTAATTAGACAAAATTTTCAGACAATGCAAAAGTTTCAAAAAAAAGGTGAAATTTGTACAATTGTGCATTACAACAAATTTCTGAAAACCAGATTTTATTTTATTTTAACTCATAACAAGTTAATTTTCTTACTTCGATGATGATATATTCATGGTATTTTACACTCAAATTGAAGGACAGAAATTTTAATTAATAAAATTTTTTAGTAATTCAAATTTTAAAATGAATCATGAAAATTGTTTATTTAAGCGAATTTCGGCATTGTTCATGTTCATCTACAATTTATAGCAGTAATGAACAGTTTTTGTCATATATTTATCATATCTAGTAAAAATGAAAATCTACTCTGATGTAATCGAGATGAAAACTGATTGATATATATTTACTAATCGATTTATTAAGTAAATATATATTACAAATTGGTTTCAATAAAATATTTATGCATATTGAATTATTTTTTATAGACAAGAAGAAACTTTGATCCTACTGAAGTCAGCAAATTCAGTAAATATCAATCCTTAGAAGATGTCGTCAATCTTAAATTTCAGACAACTTGTAATCCAATTAGCTATCAAGTAATTACACTGACTAAAATTGATTTCCATTTATTAATTATTACAAAATGCATATCAAAATTCATATAAATTACTACTGAAGAGAGTGCAAAAATTTTTAGAAAATTATGAATATTTTCTTATGAGCTTTAAACTTGAATCCGTATTTAAATTTTCTATAAAATTAATTAATTATTTGATAATTAAACAGTGTTTTTGATATAAATCTTAACAACAATCAGCTAAAGCTTATTTTACTGAATCAAATTTTATATACATGTACCACAAATTACATGTCTATATCTATATATTTAAATGCTGCAATTACATATCTGTGCTATATTTATGTATATTTAAATGCTCACTGTTAGCATATTAAATTAATTATATATATTTGAAAGCATTTTAAGGTTATGAGCACATTTATCAAACTTTCTTATTAGGTATAAACTATGTATCAGAGTGTTTTTGTTGCATAACAAATAGCACTCTTATCAGTACTATAATGTTGGTGTTATCTTTTATCATTTTATGTTCCTCGACATTGTTTATATATAAATCTCTTAACATTTTGTACGTATGATATATCCTTATATTTACTGAACTGTTTCAAAAATATCTTACATTTACCAAACTTAGTCGTAAAATATTTGCATAATTCTCAAAGTTTTTTACGTGCTTAAAACAAATAAAACTAATTGAAGAACAAGTAAGGAAGAGTGAAAAAATGCTTGAAATAAGTCAAATAGATAATAGATACTTTTGAAGGGGAAATTGGCCCTGAGCAATTTGATTGTTGTTATCAATTTCTATTTTCTGCAAATTAAAATCCGGTATTTTTGATCAACCTCGCCAGAATCGACCCCTTTCCTTGCCATGTATTTGTGCATTCATCCCAAGCGATGACCATTTGGGATGAATACTAAAGTTTGTAGAATGTCGTCATTATTGCTGGTGATCTTATACATTATCATATCACTGAAATGCTGCAGTTCTCAGGTTTAATTAATTTATCAATCTTTTGTTTTAAATTTATTTTTTTTTACTTTATTTTTTTATTTTACTTTTTCTTACTTTCACTTTTGTTTTACAAATCTTTTCTTAGTTATGTGAAGAGTAAAAATATCAAAATCTTTTTTACTCTATTTTTAATCAACTTTTTACGCTTACTTTTACGCGTATTTTATAGAATGAGTAATTTTTTTATATTCAAAAATCAAAATGCATTATTTCTGTTCATACTTTTTTAACACTTCCTGTGAAATAAGTTGCTTTATTGTTGATTTAATGAACAAATAAAACGTTATTTTTCAAATTTTGAACGCTTTACACTGCATAAGAAAAGTTTGCTGAGTATCATTGCGTCACTTAAGTTACGTTTATTTTGGAATTTTTGAAGACAAAATTTAAGCACTAAAAATTAGTAAAAAAGCTTAAGTAATAAAAATTAGTACCATTGAATTGAGACTATTTTTCAATGCAAATTCTAAAATTTATTCCATCAACCGCTTGATTCTTTAATTTTTTGTGTGCTAAAATTTGCTGGCTGTTTTACTTCAATCTTATACGCCATTATGAAGGAAGATATGCAAATTTTCTCGTATTTTAGACTGAAAATGTAGTTCCATTTTTAAATCTTCTCTCAGATGGAAATATTGGTCGGTTGACGCAAATCGCAACGCAACTCATTGCTTCTGCTGCGAAGCATTCCGCCACTGCAAATATTGAAGCACTGTATGATTGATATTTCTTATTAAATTTACAATAATATCAAAAAATTTTTTTTCACAATTTTCGCAAGTATAAATTTTTAAAAATTTAGAAGAACAATGCAATTTATAGAAATATTTTGCTGTAAAATATTTAAAATTTAAAAAATGTAAGTTAATAGTTTTAGGACAAGACCGGGACGACCTGAACCGGCTCCTGTTTCCCTCAATTCCCGACCATCAGAAATGATCGGTCAATCAATAACTAATGCTATCTCACCAGCTATAAACAAACTTGCAGAAGTATCAAAAATGAAAAAAATCTCACCAACTATAACAAAACATGCAGAAGTATCAAAAACTGAAAATCGTGGCTTAATGACCGATAATTATCATTCTCATACTACTTATGATAAAAGTTTTATTAATGGTGCGAATTCCCTGATAGACATTGCAGAAGCCTTCTTAGGCACTTCAAAACCTTCTACATCTCCAACACATAATCAGATAATGTCAAGGAATCAGAATGTCGACTGGTTTCCAACTATTCGGCAATTAACGCCTGGTGCTAATAGCAATTTTGGTATACCAAAAGGAGAAGGTTAGCTAAATAAATATTTTTATATATGAATGAAATTTTGCTCTTATTAAATAATAGATAATTTAAATTACATAATTAAATATCTAATGAATATTGCTGCTGCACATGTAAATGCTATATTGGCCAAATGTGAAAAAATTATTAATTTAATTGTTTCAGAAAATTACGCAAAAATGAGCATTAGTAACTGCATAAACTAATAATTAGACAAATTAGGTTTGTTATCAAATTAATTAACGATTGATTAGACTCGATTATATCATAGCTAAGTTTCTATATTAGTAGTGATAAAATAAGTAAATTGTTTTACTTTTGAGATTTATCAGCGATTGACTTTAATAGATTTGGTTGTTAATTTGGAGTATAAAATGTGAGAATGTGTATGTTTTTATTATTTTGATGACATTAATAGATTTTGTTTGGAAGTTATTTTTACAGAAATTGTCATTTCATCTAAAAAATTTATCACAATTTGTTCAAAATGTTATTTTTGATAAAATTAATAACAATAAAAATTATTATGCGATATCAAAAAAATTTGACAATAAATTTTTTAGGTTGTCTACCATTTTTAAGTGAATTTATGAAAATGGCATATGGAAACTGCGTGAAAATAGCGGATGAAAAAGCATGGGATTTATGGGGTAATCAAATCAACAATGCTCTTTTTGGAGGAAAAGTTGACCTCATTGCAGCCACGTAAATTTATTCACAATTAACGTAAAATGAATAATACATATAGGAAATGAATTTTTTTTCCTTGTCAATTAATGATCTTAATTTGATAAAATTCAGTTTATTTTCTCTCAGACAAAAATATGATTAAAAAAATTGAGTAAAATTTTATTTTTATTGAAAAAAAAAAACCTAAAAACTTCGCATATCAATGTATAAATCATTTCTGCACAATAATTTTTAATTACTGATTAATTAATTAATTATTAACAGGAAGGAAACTTGTAAACGTGGTGCTGAAAGGCAGTACTGCGGACAACTACGGAAAGTAATCAGTGAATGTGATATCTTAGGATCATTACAAGTTGGAATGGAAATGCAGCGAGCAATTCAGCGATGTGATCAATTTTCAGGTGTCATTGATCAGGTTGATAAATTTTTCCTCTACTATTTGTGCTCTCTTTTTTTTAAAAAAAATCTTATTTGATGAACTTTGACCCTATTAAATATTCAAAAGCTCATTTTCAAGTTTTTATTTTTTATTTTCTTAAATTTAAATGAACTAAATTTTGATCTATTATTTTATTAACAACAAAATGATTGGCACCTACTTTACTCAAAAATTTGCTTTTTATTTATTCCCTTTTAAATATTATAAAAAAGTTACATAGCGTCATATAACACAGTTACAATTTTCCGATATCATAAAAGAATTATTTTCAATTAGCAAAATTATTTCCACTCATTTCTTCATAAAGTTATTATTATTATTATTATTATTATTATCACTTATTACTAGTATTATTACTATTTATTTTGATACTTACTACTTTTTGTGATCATTTTTTAAAGTAACTACTATCATCACACTTAACTATAATCGTAATAATCATTTCAGAATCCAGTTCACGTACTCGATCAAGTGAACAGTATTGTTAGTGGAGAATTTGCTCAAGGATTTTTGCATAAATTTCTTGGTTAATTATAAGAATTTGAAATCTAAATGATCTCATTTATGAATGCGGAAATTCGTTCAGTTTTTCAAATTTTTGTCTTTGTAGTGAACATATTTATATTCTATAAATAATTGATAAAAACAAATATTCGCTTTAATTTGCATTGCTAAAAGTTTTTCCGCTAATTTTTTTTCAAACACACAAAATAAGTAAAATTATTGAGAGAATAAAAACGCTATCTTAATAGAATATAAAAATTCATTTAAAAATTATTTTTTCTCTCTTAAAGCAATTTTTTTATTATATTTAATAATCGCTTAATAAAATAAAAA